GGTGCGTTGTACCCACCTTCGTCATTTGATCCGAGCTGAGCATTACTCTAGTGGTGAAACCGCCGTTCAAGCTCGTACACTGTCTACCGGAGAGATCCATCCTCTCGCAGACGCCCGAGCAACTTGCTTTATCCTTCGTTCGCCCCACTCGCTGAACCAAGTGCACCGTGAATCTGACCAGTCCATGAGTCTGCGGGGTCGTCATATTCTATGGGGAGACTCTGCGCGAGGTAGAATCGGTAACAACAACTACATCACCTGTCCAAGGCTCTATGATTGGGCGAATGGACGTGACGTGACACCGGTATGGACTCTTCCAGTGCAATAGTCAGCAAAAAGCTGAAAGCCGATCTTCAGCGTCTGGATGGTAGCGTTACGTGCGCATTGACCTTCCTCGAAGGTGGGCGTGTCATCTCTATCGTGTTCGCCGCTGGGAGTTACGAACTGTGGATTTCCGACTTGGAGAGCCCGGACTCGGAGGGACGTGCATCCGTGACCCACATATTCCAGTTCACGTTCCCTGCGGCCTGGAGGGTCTACGTCGTACCGGGTGCCTCCGGTACCAAAGTCGGTTTACCGACGGCGAGACTCGCACAGATCGTGGGAAATGGTCGTAGCTGCTACTTCGACCACGACGATTGGGTTCCCTTCATCGTGAAATTCATCATGATAGACGACCATGACGTGCGCCCGTTCACACTGCGCGTACCAACCTCTGTCTTCAAGAAGTTTACGGGACGCCCGCGAGAGCCTGAGCAATTGCCAGTCACGATACCTTATGCCGCATGGAGTGATGGTGTGGTTTTCGAGGAGTCTGAGGGACTCCCATTCGACTCGGATACATATCGCCAGGCTCCCCATCGTATACACGGCTCGCGTTTATACTGGTGGTACTATGGAGACAACGCGCTACACGTTGTGGACCTACACCCGCGACGGTTGGCATGGCTTACCAAAGACCCGAATGTACGCTTCCGCGATACGACCTTTGAAGTGCCGAACGATGCACGCAAGCCCAATGCTCCTGATGGTCCATCTTGCGAGATGTACTTTAGCGTATCGGGAGATTGTTTGGTTGTACAGGAAGTGAGCTCACTGTGTTTTCGTGACCTGAGCATCACGCTAATGTTGATCTGTCAAGCATGGACATTTGGACGACGCCGATTTCGACGATGAGAGAGGGCCTACTTATTCAATCGCTGTCTACAGTTTTGTGTAGACTCATTGTCACGGGTATTCGCTCTACATTGTAGGGTACGTACGGTACTGTGACGCCCATCCGCCGGATACCCCTACGCTAGGGTTACGTTCGTAGATGGCCGCGTGCTGTTTTGTTCGCTACTTGGTACTTACGACCGACTACCACAACCAATCCTTTCCCACTCCCGTTGTGCGAGGAGCTCGCTTTCCGGGACCGTGGGGCATAAGATCCCTCACGTTGGGTCCATTCAAGGCAAAATAGGATCGTGGGACTTTTGGTTCCGACTTCAACGCGGCTCCTCTCACAGGGCTCCTCATGTCCCCATCATCCACCACCATCCTCTATCATCGCTCTACTCAATGCCAGCCCATAGTACAACATGCACTTCATAGACTTGCCCTTTGATATACTTGAGAGAATCCTGTGCTGCCTAGACGTCCGCGACGTCCTAGTGTGCAGCAGTGTTTGCAAACTCCTTCAGCAAACTATCAACGAGTCCCTACCTCTCCGCTACGCGATTGCCCTTGCGGAACGCGGGATGACTGATGGAACAGACTCTTTCGCGAGTTTGGCCGAGCGCCTTGAGAACTTGGAGCGTTATGAGCTTGCCTGGCGCGAGTTGCGGTGGCAAGAAACCTTGCGCTTCGATCTGCCCGCACCCTCCCGCTACGTCTATCAGGAGGATGGGTACCTTCTAATCGTCGATCCAGCGATGTGCACAGTCAAAGTGGTTCGGCTTCCATCGCCCCTGCGCGGTGTACCACAGGCGGAGCACAACTGGAGTGCACCTCCGGCATTCCTCGAGGGTGATGGGACCGTTCTTATTGACGTCCGCCTTGACTTGGTTGTATTCCTGAATCACCAGAACACCGCTGGCGCGTGCGTTACACCCATCTTCGTTATTTCATCTGACTTGAACCTTGCTTTAGCACCGGCACCGGCGTTCAAGCTCGTACACTATCCACCGGCGAGATCCATCCCCTCGCCGACGCCCGAGCGACGTGCTTCATCCCTCGTTCGCCCGACTCGTTGAACCAAGTGCACCGCCACTCTGATCAGTCGATGTGTCTGCGGGGCCGCCATATACTGTGGGGCGACTCTGCGCAAGGCAGAATCGGCTACAACCACATAAACTGTCCGAGGCTTTTTGACTGGACGAACGGACGCGACGTGACGCCCGTAAGTCCCTGACCCTTTTGTTGCGATACACAGCACAGAAAAGCTTAAAATGGATATATATTCGTTCAGCGGCTGAATGGGAGCGTCACGTGCGCGTTGACTTTCCTCCACGACGGGCGTGTCATAGCCATCGTCTTCAACGCCACGAGCGCAGCCTACGAGCTGTGGCTTGCCGACCCGGAACGTCCGGGCTCAGAGGGCCGCGCGTCCGTCACGCACATGTTAGCAGCTCTCGTTCCCCCCGCCCTGGAGAGTGCACGTCGTGCGGTGTGCATCCGGCGCCAAAGTCGGCCTGCCGAGTGCGAAGTGCGGGCGGTGCTGCTTCGACCATGACGACGACGAGGGGGCGCCGTTCGTCGTGACGCTCGTTATGCGGGACGATGCGTACGATGTGCGCCGGTTCGTGCTGCGCGTGCCGACGCCTCTCTTCAGAAAGTTCGTTGTGTGCAAGGACGAGCAATTGCCGGTAATAATTCCTTATTCTGCGTGGAGCGAGGGTGTGAGTCTCGAGGTGTCCAGCGGACTCCCGTTCCACTCGGACTTGCTTACGGGTCGCCCGCATTATCGTATACATGACTCGCGCGTGTTCTGGCGGAACCATGGAGAGAACGTGATGCATGTTGGGGACTCCCTACACCCGCGCCGTCTAGCCTGGCTAAAACTTCATGGGGAAGACTCGGGTGTGCGGAGCCTCCGCGATACGACGTTTACGGTGCCGAACCATGCGCGCACTCCTGATGATCCATCGCGACAGATGTACTTTAGCGTGTCGGGCGATTGTCTGGTCGTACAGGATGTAAGTTCGATCTCGCCGTTGTATTTCGTTAGCCTGACCATTTGCACTCATGTTGTGTGATTCGTCGAGCACGGAGATCTGGACGACGAGGACGCGTTCGAGGATGAGAGGGGGCCTACCTATTCGATCGCTGTCTACAGCTTCGTGTAGATACATGAGCACTGGGCATATAAGATGGAGCAGAGCTTGCTAGGACCGTAGATGATCACGGTGACAAGGTCAAAGGTTGTTTGGCCTGCAGCTCAGACACGTTCTTTGCCGAGCGCGATTCGGAGGCTGGAGCTCGCGATACTGCGGGGTTTTCCGGACACATTGTTCGAACCAAGAAAGCATGAGACAGCGATATGCAAGACGAGCTAGTCACAAGCGGACGATGTTGATACAACAAGAAACCCCTTCTATTCTACTCACCCCTCCTCACCCCATCCTCCCCCCCTCCCTTGTGCATGAGTTCGTGAGATCATGTCTTGCCGATCCGTTCGCGCGCATACGCCACGAAATCGTCGATCGTCGACGGCCACGATTCTGCGCGTATCATCAGCACAGAGAAGACGTGAGGACAAGGAAAGAGAGAAAAGAGCGCACCCGTCTCATCGTAATTCTCGAACCCCGCATCAATGCTCTTCACAAACTCCAAAAACTGCACCCCCAATCAGCCCTCTCTAATCTTGACTTGAGGAGATGAGAACGCACCATGCTCCACGTGTCCTTGCTGACGCCCTTCACGCCGCGCCCCTCCAGAAACTCCGCCCACCAGAGGTCGTACTGCGCGTCCCACGCGCCCGTCGCGCGCGCGACGGGGAGCAGGATGCCCCAGAATGCGAGGGCGGTTTCGAGGCCCAGGGAGCGCGCGCCTGGGGGGAGGACGTAGGTGAATGTGTAGTTGTAGACCTGTGCGGGTGGGGTGTTAGTATGTGGATGTGAGGGAGGAGAAGAGGTTAGGTGAGGGGAGGGAGGAGGGAGGGAGAGGGAGGGAG